GTGGGTTGGGTTTAGTTTGAGTTTGGGTGGGTTGTGTTATGTTGGGTTTAGATGAGTTAAGTTTAGTTTAGTTTGGTATGTTTAAATATACTAACTCAATACGAACTTAATACCAACTTAATACGAACTTAAGATGACATAGTCGGCTATTTATTGAATGTGGATGACAATGGTTGCGAAAATGACGTCATACTAACCCAATGCGATCAGTTAATGAATAAGTGATTTAGTGCGGGGAAAGAGTAGTGGTTGTGTAACGGCACTACACTAATGCAAATGGAAGGTCTTTATTTACACAGATTGGGTTGGATTAGGTTGAGATCTGTTATAGTGTGTTATGTTAAAAGAATGTTAGCATCAATATCAGCTACGATATCATATCAACGTAACATAACTCAACTCAACATAACCTAACGCAATGCTAACTTGATAGGAAGGTTGGGTTGGGTTGAGTTGGACTAAAGATGTGGATATGTTGGAGTGGCTGATGAGTTAATGGATTGGTTAGGAAGGTAACCAGATACTAGCCTAATCCTAATCCAAAATATCAATTCATAGGTTCAGCTTGGCCCACCTGTATCAGGAGTGGCTCTTTAGCAGCTACAGGTACTGGCGACTTAACTAACTGCAGATTGGATACTAACCCAATGTCTCACTACTTATTGGACTACATACCTAAAATTAACTGGTGATCAGAGCCAGAAACCTGTTTCGAAACTATTTATATCAGAATATCTGATTATTTCACATGAAACTATCTAACACGAAATTATCTAAAATCCAAGTTCTCTTCTTAGTAGCCGTTTGCGCTCTGGCTTTCTTCTGCCAGGTCGTTAGAGCCGATCCTTCTATTGGCCAAGGAGCCACACCCAACCATCCACTCACTCCCCCCTCTAACACCGGACCCGGCGGTTCTAACAAGCCAAACAAGCCCGATTCAGACAAAGGCACCACCAACGTATTCTACCGTATTGTCTTCTACCAACAAGATAGTGGCTTCTACAACTTCATCCATGGTCCCGTCTTCCTAACCATTATAGGAATCCTCTGCACAGCTATGGCCATTGGTGGAGTCGTTATGATCACTAAAAGCGGCGGAGCCGGTAGCGTCTAATCGTAAATAAATGCAAGCACTAGTACTATTTATTAGTAGATCACTAAATAACATTGGTAACAATATCAACAATATTGACCACGTAAGGCGTATCAATCAAAATAAACTTAACCTCACAGTTGTCTACATTAGCAACCTTCCCCAACTTAGCCAAAGCTTCAGCTGGTACTCTAGATTTATCCAGATAAAAGTCCTCGTACTTCTCTTCGTTGAACAGATGAATTTCATCCTTCTGCTCATCAAGCTCTAATAGAAGGCATGGTGTTCGTTTAAAAGTTCCAACTGTTACTTGGTCTTTAGTACCTTCAGTAAAAGTAATGTTACGGTTAACGGACAAATCAACTCCTGTAAAGTTAAGCTTAGCTGCTCCATGCTTACCCGGCTTAGACTTAGTTATATCAGTGATTTCAATAAGCTTATAGACATTCTTTTCACCCTTAATTAGCATGTGCTTCTTTCGGATACTTGAAGCTTCGACTAATTCGATGTTTAAACCATCAAACTTAGTTGTTTCATCGGCAGTAGTCATTTCAAGGGTAAAAAAATAAAGCGGCTTATATAGAAGACTCTCCTGTTCCGATTCTGACAGCTGAGATTAAGTTGCTTTTGACTCTTCATTTGAAATTTGGGGTAATATTGGTTTGGGTTGTGTGGGGTTTGAGTTAGTATTGGGTTGGGTTGGGTTATGATAGAGTAGAGTTAAGATAAGATTAGATTAGTAGAGTTGAGATATTTAAATATTGAATTTAGATTTGGAATTGAAATTGAAATTGGAAATGAAAGGAAGATTTTAAGATTAGAAAGTAGAAATTAAAAGTGACTTTATGTTTATGTTATGTTAGGTTAAGTTAGGTTGGGTTTAGTATAGGTTTGGTATGGTATGGTATAGGTATTGAATTAGGTTGGTTTAATAAAGTGAAGTAGTTTGATAAGATAACGGCTAAATATAATCTAAGTACTATATAAATACTAATCTAAGTGTTATATAAATGCTATATAAATGCTATATAAATGCTATCTAAGTACTATATAAATGCTATCAAAATACGAATACGTTATGAAGGTTTAATTTGGTTTGTCATATTTAGTTTGGATACTTAGTTGATATAGTAGGTTGGATTGAGTTTAGTGCTGGGTGAGGTGGGCTTGTTGGTGATAGTTGAGTAGAAGGGCATAGAAGTGGAGAGTGGAGGGAGTGTTGGTGAGTTTGATAAGAAGTTTGGCCGCTTGGTCAAGTAGGAAGAGATTGTTTTTGTCCTTGGCGACTTTAAAGATAAGTTTAGCAATGTCCTCTGGAGTATATCCATTAGTAAGAAGAGCTTGAAGATCATTTAGGGAAGATTGTCGGGTAGCAGTTGGTGCGAACATTTGCTGGACTGTATCAATAGGCGGAATATGGGTCATTCTTTGCACTAGTGGAAGTTGAATGGATTTAGAAATAGTAGCTAGAGTTTGTAAGAAGTTAATGGCTTGACGGGCATCACCTTCGGCATTTTCAGCAACAAGAGCAATAGCATCTTTGGGAATAGTAAGTGATTCGGCTGTAGCAATTCTTTGAACTATTGTTTGGAGATCTTCTTTACTAAGGGGAGTAAGTCTTAGAATAGCACACCGACTTTGAATCGTATCAGAGATCTTTTCTAGATCATTACAAAGGAAGATAAACTTAGCATCTTGATGCTTTTCTAGTAAACGGCGCATAGAGTGCTGGGCAGCTGTTGTCATTGAATCAGATTCATCTAAGATAAGAAACCGGACAGATTTAAGCTTCTTTTGTAGGAAAGATCGGATTTTAGTACGTACGATATCAACTCCTCGTTCATCTGAAGCGTTCATTTCCAAAACGGCCTCTTTCTTAAGACTTAGATCGGGAAAGAATTCATTCAGTAAGGCATTGATAATGGTTGTTTTGCCAATTCCAGGGGTTCCAGTTAAGATCAAATGGGGCATACTTTCATCTTTTGAGAAAACACTGAATAACTCAATTATCGGACGATTACCAACTACATCAGCAAGAATCTTGGGGCGATATTTTTCTATCCAAGGCAGACTCATGGTATAGCTAAAAAATAAGACTTAACTCGGGTTAGTACTGACTAAGATATGTATATTGTATTGTGTTAAGTTAGGTTGGTATTGTATTGGGTTGTGTTATTGTTGTGTTGGGTTGGTATTGAGTTGTGTTAAGTTGTGATTTAATTGAGATAAGATTGTGTTAAGATTATGTTAAGATAAGATTATGTTAAGTTGAGATAAGATTGTATTAAGTTGAGATAAGATTGTATTAAGTTGTATTAAGTTGAGATAAGATTGTGATAGGACTAAAGAATACTAATGTGATAGTATAACAAGTTGATATCTTTATTGGGTTAGTATTGGGTTAGTCTGACTTAGGAATGAATTTGTCGGCGGTCCAGTCGCGATTGCAGCCGATGTATGGACAGACAAACAAGTTCTTCTTGCGCTTGGTGGTCTGGTAGAAGAAGACTAGTGCATCTTGGTTGAAAAGATGGCCACAAGGTGCGGCTAGAGGAGTACTGATCTCTTTTTGGGAAAGAAGACAGATGGATGCTTCTTTACTCTTCTCGATTTGTAAGCCGCGGGGTTGGTGCTTGTTTTTGATTTCGCGGTAGATGGGTGTGTTTTTGGCTTCTTTACGAAGTGACTGAGAATTGATTGATAATTGGTGGAATTGTTCTTGTGTAAGAGATTCTTGGTTGTGGTTTAGAGCAAGTTTTATAGCTACTAATTCGATAAGAACTTTATCTTTGATCAAAGTTTGCTCGGATTTAGTTAATTTCTGAATGAGATAGTCTAGATCTTCAATTTGGTTAGTGAAGAGTTTAGCCGGCATAGATCTAAAATTTTGTCTCATGATTGTTTGGTTATCTATTGAACAGTTCTGAAACTGTGTCTGTCCGTCAATATAACCTGCTTATTGTTATGCTAATTATGAAAACAGCTAGAGTTCTGTGTCTGCTTTTGGTAATTAGTGGGCCTGCTTTTGGATTAGATATTCAGAACTTCAAAAACTTATATAGTGATGCGAAGTGTAGTGGTAGTGATATTCTTTTGTATGGTAATAATGGCCATTGGATTAGCTTGCCCTGCCCTTCTGGGAGTTTTTGTCATAAGTCTGGGGATGGGTTGATTTGTCGGCCTAAACGAGTTAGAACGAGCACGGTTACTATTACTCTCTCTAGTGTAGCCACAATGCCAGCTAGTTCAGTTAGTCCTACCGGGGCACCTAGTACTTCTTGGTCAGGATTACCGCCTGGAAGTTCAGGTATGAGTCCGCCCAGTCAGTCAACTGTTTCTGTTCCCGCTGAAAGTCTGCCAGAAACACCCACTACTGCAACAACTAGTGCTGTCATGGCACCTACTCCCGGTCTAGCTACTAATGAACTGAATGTTCCCAACCAGCCAACCGGCCAATCCGTCAAGAGCACTGAATCAACTATGATGGCTCCATCCTCACCTTCCACTAACTCACCTTCTACTAACTCACCATCCACTACTACACCATCTAATAATTCACCTTCTACTATTACGCCAGCCAATACTAATTCAGCTACTAATACATCACCTAGCACTGAAACATCCCCAGCATCAAACAGCCCTTCAAATCCTCCTCCTGCTATTATGCCAGCAACAAACATGACAGCAATGCCTCCAGCAACTAATGGTACTTCTGAACCCAATACTCCTCCCAGCCCTCCTTCCGACAATCCAACTAATGGCGGCCCCGCTACTATTCCCGTGGCTACTATTAATGGAGAAGGTCAAGATATTATTATTGAATACCGCCAAGGTGGACCGGGAGATTTAAGCATAGATAGTATTCCAACCAGTACTGGATCTACTAATACTGATCAATCTCTATCACAAGGCACCCAAACCGATCAACCTCCTCAATCCACTCAATCTACGCAAACAGGTACTACTCCTTCGCAATCTACTCAGACAGATCAGTCTCCTCAATCTCCTCAATCTACACAGTCTACTCAAACAGACCCCATGGCTTCAATGATCGATCTTCAAACTACTAATCCCAATGAAACTGTTATTACTCTCAATGATAAGTCCCCTAATACCTTCATCCAACAACCTGGTAAATATACCAAAAAGATCCTTGGTAAGCTCCAAGGCGTATTCAGGAGCCCAAACTCCAATCCTAGCACTACTCCCGGTGCAACCCCAGCCAATCCCATCATCAATAACAATGCCACTGCTACTCCAGCCAAGAAACCTGCCGCACCAGCTGCCAAATCAACTACACCCCCAGCTAAATCCAATACTACCAATGCAAAAACAACCACTGGAGATAACAAAAACACTACCAATAATTCCGGTAAAAAGACATTAACATTAGATTTAATCAAAGAAACCTTAAAGGCCGCCGGATACAATAACGGATTCAAAGAAGACTTCGTTAACGAACTTATTACACAAATTAACAAGCAAAGCTGGTCTTCCAATGAAGTAGCGATGTTTTTGGCCCAAATATACCACGAGTCCGCCGGTCTCTCCGCCCTAGAAGAAAAAGCCTGTATTAGCACGCCCTGTCCACAATACAGTAATGCCGATAAGGCCAATGGTCCAGTCGTTGCTAAACCGGGCAAATACTACCACGGCCGGGGCTATATCCAACTTACTTGGCCCGGTAATTACCAAGAGGCCAGCAAGCAGATCTATCAAAGTGATCGCTTATACGACACTCCAGAACAAGTCTCCCAAGATAAATCCGTAGCCGCCGCCGTCTCAATCTGGTTCTGGAATACCAAAGTAATGAGCAACAAAGATGTTCTTAACAAGTTCGGTCTTGCCACTAAAGCTATTAACGGCCCAATTGAGTGCAAGCCAGGTACACCCAATCCTGCCGCGCAAAGGAGATGGCAAAACTATCAAGCTATTGCTAAAATACTTGCCGTCTCCCCACTAGCAGTAGAATCCGGATGTTACAATTGATAATAAATTTACTGCTTGTTATCTTCAGATATATCCCCTTCTGATACTCCCGGCGTATCACTACCAATATCACCTATCTTATCTCCATCATTAATATCACTTATCTTATCACTACTATCCTTAATACTACTACTACTAGATAAGATTGCTCCTAAACGCAAGCCCTGCCTATTAATACGTCGAGTTCGTTTCACAGCATAGCGATTGGCTAGGAGATCAGCAAAACCAGGCGGTTTCTTGTAAATCTTAGTGAGTTCTTGATAAGCTTTCTTTAAAGATCGGACAGATACACCTGTGCCATTAGAAATAAGCTGTAAACACCGCTCGCCTTGTAAAGCATACTTTTGCGATAGAACATACCTAACTAAAACATCGCACCAGTAAGTTAAATAAGCTCTTTCTCCTTCTTCTGATAAAGGTTGTTCGGGACCAGCTATATAAGGCGGCTTTTCACGCCGTTTAGTTAGTAAGTAACTGAAATCAATCAAAAAAGATCCCAAACCTGTCTTACGATAGGGAGGAAAAACAACAATACAAGATAAGTTATTAGATCCAGATTCTTTTTCTTTTGAAAAGTATCCTTGTATCTCAAACTTATCTCCTTTTATCTCACCTTGAACATAGAACAAAAAAGGCTCAACGTCATAATATAACGTCTTATGATTCAAAAACATCTTAGCCAGCAGACATAAACTCTGGCAATAACTCTTCTGTAAAGATCCTTCCACTTCAAAAATACACACTCCATCAGTATCTAAATACAATAACTGACCAGGAGGATAAACATTAAAACACTTCAACTTATGTCTAGCCCGAGTATATTCAGAAGAGAAGCAATCTAAACACTGGCCACAAATATATAAATTGCCATAACGGACATACTCCTCAGGATAAGGCGAAGCAAATAAAGGCTTCATTTCTACTTCTTCTAAATAAACCTTCTTAATCCCACCTTCACTACGACCAGGACCTTTAACCCTCTTACAAATCTCACGTACTTTCAAGCCCAAGTCTTCATTCACATTCTCAAGTACTCGTTCCAGAACAGGTACTTCAGGACCTACTAAATCACGATAAGTCATTTCCCAACTCAATCCCAAACACTTCTTACAACACCAATCCTCACCACCCAGTACAGTACTATCATCACTCATATTTTTCTTATCTTTATCACAATAATTTTGATTTTGATTTTGATTTTGACTATCACCATTAGATAAGTTATCACTACTACTACTACTACTACTATCACTATCACTATTATCATCATTATTAGATAAGTTACTACTACTATCAACATTAGATAAGCTATCATTATTACTGTTAACATTACCATTAGATAAGTTACTATCAATATTACTACTACTATCAATATTACTATCACTAATAACACCATTAGATAAGTGATTAATATTTGTTAAATTATTGATAAGTTTAACTGGTGGGTTATAATTACTCTGAGTAGTACTAAGTCTTGATCCAGTTGTGCATTTAGGATGGTGATAATGATACCCACATCTCTTACATCTAACTAAATACTCTTTTTTATCACGAAAACAAAGATAACAAATAGAACAATCATCACAATAAATCATTAAACTATCTTTACCGATAAGAAGAGCTTTCTTTTCGATATGATCTTCTACCGCAAACGGCCGCAAACATCGACTACATTTCATTCAATTTTTTAGCGAAAAATCCAATGAAAAAGCGGGAGACTAACTACCGATCTAGAGGCCAATTAAAGGAGAGAGAAGGTTTAGGTGCTTTAGAGAAGAAGAAACACTTTTTGGCAAGAAGTAAACAGAAGAGAGATAGGGAAGAAAAAATTCAAAAAATAAAGAAGCTCGCTGATCTAAGCAATCCAGACGAGTTTCGCTTCTTTATGCATACTTATCAGCGGAAAGGGAGTAGGTTAGTGCCTAAAATGGGTTTGAGTGTGATAGAGGAGGGTTTAGATAAGGATAATTTTGATTTAGATAAGGATGGGTTTAGTTTAGATACGAGTGAAAGTAAAAAGAAAAGCGAGCGGATTGTCTTTTTAGATAAGAGTGATAGTGAAGAGAAAGAAAACATAGTTAGTTAGATAATAAATTAAGTTAAGTTAGATTGAGTTGAGTTTATGTGGGGTTTATGTGGGGTTGAGTTTAGTTTAGTTTAGTTTGAGTTGGTGTTAGATTGATGTTGGGTTTGGTTTGGTTTAGATTGAGGCTGAGTTTGATGTTGAGTTAGATTGAATTGGTATTAGATTGAGTTAGTATTAGATTAAGTTGAGTTAGTGTTAGATTGGGTTGTGTTGGTTTTTTGAGTAAGCTAAGTCAGTTGAGTATTAGGTTAGATTAGAGTGTTTTTGAGTAGAGTAGAGTTAGGTTGTGTCTGTTCCTAGTTGCAGAGACTTGGAAAGGAAAAGGCGGATTTTGCCTAATAAGGAAATTTCTTGGTTATAATACGACTGTGTATAAATAAATATGAGAGTTTGAATGGTAGATTATAGAAACAATTGTGGTGTTTATATTATGTTATGACAGGTTAATTGGAATATCAATTAAATCTAGATGGGGCTCTATTAATTGTGACTAATCAGGATAGACTTGGCGGGATATTAAAAGGTAAAGTATATATTGAGTTGGTATTTGGGTTAGCATTGAGTTGATAGAAGAGAAGAAGATGATGAACTGAGAAGAAGAACTGAGAAGAAGAGAAGATGATGATGATGATGAAGAGAAGAAGAACTGAAGAAGATGATGATGAGATGAGATGATGAGAAGAAGAACTGAGAAGAAGAGAAGAACTGAGAAGATGAGAAGATGAAGAACTGATGATGATGAGAAGAAGAAGAGAAGAAGAGAAGAAGAAGAGAAGAAGAAGAGAAGATGATGATGATGAGAAGAACTGATGAAGAAGAAGAGAAGAAGAGAAGAAGAAGAAGAAGAACTGTGCCGAAACGATTACTCACTTGAATTCCAATCCCAATTCAATCCTAATCCAATTCCAACTCCAATCCCAATTCAATTCAACTCTAAACTATCCTAATTCTGTGCCGGGATAGTAGCTGTGTGTTATGGATGTGTGTGTAAGATAGTCTGTGTTAGTGCTGGCGTCTCTACCCTTTTTCATGATTATCATGTTTTTTTGGTAGAGGACACGAAGCTGGCTGAGATATGACCGTTGTTAGAAGAGTACAAATGCATTTTCTCTACTTTCCTTCTCTTTATCTGGTTCTGATCTTCTTGATACTTACTTGGCTTTTGGAAATTCTAACAATGTGTGTTTTCATGGGAATAAATCGTGCGCCTCCCCTCTGATTGGGTTTTGTTGTTTTTGAGATAGTTGGCGTTGTGTTTTTAATTCAGACTTGCCTAAAATGGACTTATTACTTTGGTTTAATTAATTGCCGTAGATTAAAAATACTGGCAAAAATGAGAGATAAGTATAATTGTTGTTTTGATTTTTCGTGGTATCATGAAAGTAAAAACGAAAGTTCTTATCTTCTGTGGATTACTTGTTATATTTAGTGCTCTATCTATTGGTATATACATTGTTACTTGGAAATCAACGATCAGAAAGACTAGTACTATACTTACGGGTAAGCTACCAGCTAAAGCTAACAAGCGGAATGAAAACGCGATATCTAATAACACGTATTCAAAAACACATGCTATGTTGTACAGTGAGTTAGAGAATGCAGGATTCTTTGATTCTTGGCATAGAGATAGAGAAACTGTGATTCCTTTGCCAGACACACTTAAAGCCGTTGGTCCGTCTCAGGAGGGCAATAATTCGAGTTCCGCTAATAGCCATGCTAATAGCCAAACTATAGATGATCGTGATGATATGCCGGGTAACTCCAGTACGTTGTCTGATGAGAAAGTAGATCAGTTAGAGAATAAGAGTGAGAATGAGAATGAGAATGAGAATGTAAGTGAGAGTGGAAGTGGTAGTGGAAGTGGAAGTGGAAGTGGTAGTGGAAGTGGAAGTGGTAGTGGAAGTGGAAGTGGAAGTGGGAGTGGTAGTGGAAGTGGAAGTGGGAGTATGGAAAGTGAATTTAGGAGTATGGAGAGTGATTTTGTGAGTGCAGAGAATGGGCTTAATGATCCAATAGAAGAAATATCTACTGGGGTATTTGAAAAGAACGAGATGCCTGCTTATGCTAATAGTGATTACCTTGCCTATCATGAATTGTCAATATTCGGTAAAAGTCGGCTGGTCTGCACGGACGCTCTAACTGTTTCTAAACTCGTTGCAACTAGCTTGGCTGATGTCGCCTATGATCATTTATATAAACCCATTACTGACCCAATTATTGATGCCGCGACTTCTTGTGCACAAGTTATAACTCCACCCATTGCTAATACTTATGCTGTCTGTAAAGATGCCGCAACTTCTTGTGCACAAGTCATAACTCCACCTATTGCTAAGGGCTATGCTGTCTGTGAAGAGGCAGCAACTTCTTATGCACAAGCCATAACTTCATCTATTAGTGATAAGTTTACCGATTGGAAGGATGCTACAACGTCGTATGTGAAAGAAACAGCTGCTCCTATAGCTGATGCTTATGTGGGCTATGTAGATGCTGTAGTTGCTGCTAAAGTAAGCATAATATCTCTCAAGGATAGAACAGTTACTCTAGTCACTGTTAGTTTCAAAACTTGTAAAGATACAGTAACTTCTGGTGCACAAGCTGTAATGACTCCTATTGACAAAGGTTATACTGCCTGCAAATCCAAGGTCATTGCCGCCAAGAATATTATATCCCCATCCATTGACAAAGGCTTAGCCATCTGTAAAAGAGCAGCCAAGACTTGCAAGAACAAAGCCATTGCCACCAAGGATATTATATCCCCGCCCATTGTCAAAAGCTTAACCGCATGTAAGAACAAAGCCATTGCCGCCAAGGATATTATATGCGGCCCGCCCATCTACATCACCCAGGCCATCTACAGCTACCCCTACAAACTAGTCGCCAAGGGCCTATTCAACTATAACATCACCTACCTCAAGAAAACCCTCGCTCTTATCACTAATCCACCTACTACTCCACCTACTAATCCAACCATCCCTCCACAACCAAACCCCACCCCAGACAATATATCCAATCCTAACATTACATCCAATCCCGACCCAATTACATCCAACCCCCCAATACAACAACAAGAGTCAGTACAACAAGAATCAGTACAACAAGAATCAGTACAAGAAGAACTAGTACAACAGGAATCAGTACAACAAGAACCAGTACAAGAACCAATACAGAAACCAGTACAAAAACCAATACTAACCCAACTAGTAAGCCTACCCAAACCCAATCCTGGCAACTCCTCTACTCAACCCAACATTCCTACTGCCTTCCCCTTATCAGCTTAATATTAACAACTAACAAGCATAAGATATCCAATAAAAAGATACTAAACCAAAACCTAGTTTATTTTCTACTTATCTCTAACCCAAATCAAACCCAAATCAAACCCAAATCAAAATCAAAACCCAAATCAAACCAATCCTAATCTAATCTCCTCCTCTATCCCATTACCACCTACTTCTCCATAGTACTCCTTTAACTCACTTAAATCCACCTCCTTACTATACCCCCTTACTACTACTAAAACCAACTTGTGCCAACTTAAAACTCGTTCGGCTGTTCCATTACATCCCACTACTAAGTAAGTCTTCACCTCAGCCAGTACTTCCTGACTTAATTTCAACTTCTTAATCAAAATAGATAGTAATAAAGCATAAACCGCACTAGACCATCCCAAACCCATCAATTCCCGCAACAACCATTCCATATACTCCCGTTCTGAACTACTTTTCATCACTACTCTACTCATCACTAAAGCACCCGCCCCGGTCATTCCTTCCCGCACCCAAGGCATTAAAACACTCGTTGCAAAGGCTTTAGTACTTCTTGATAAGGCACAAACTGCCCCCTTAAACAAAGACTGCTCCAACCGTTTATGCTTAGCTACATACTCCCTCACTACTCCACCAAAGACACTCAATACTTCTGTCTTAACTTCTAAGTATCCTAATGGGTAACCAACAACTCTTTCTACTATCTCTCGCCAGACTTTTAACTTACTTACTTTAAGATCTACTACTTCCAATAACAAACACATCTCTCTAACACTCTTAGGACTTATTATACTCACTTTACTATGCAGTTTAAATACTTCGGGTAATATTCCATCTTTTAAGTTTTGTTCTATCTTTCCTATCTCTTTAACATTTCTACTTAATAAATCACAATATTCATTTCCCGTTCTAAAATCTCTAACTATTTGCTGGCCTATTTCTAAACTAAAGGCTTCCGTATTTTTAGCCGGCATACTTTAAAAACTTTTTTATTTTTTATCCTAGTAAATGGCAGACGGAGAAGGACAAGGTAATCAGCCCGTTTTAGTAGAGGTAGTAGAGGTTTACAACCCAACAGGACCAGGAGGAGGTTCAAGAGGAGCAAAGGTCAAGATACTTAGCACGGGACGGCATATTACAAGGGTTATTTATGGACCAGTTAGAACAGGTGATCAGATATATCTGTTAGAGGCGGAAAGAGACCAAAAGTTAGGAGGCAGCCGGCGTTGAATAAACTAAATAGGTTATTAACTAGTAGATAAGATTTGGGTTTTGATTTTGATTTGTGTTTTGATATGGTATTGGGGTGGGGTGGTATTGAGTTGGTATAGATATAGTGTTGTGTTGTATGAGGTTAAGGTAAGTAGGGTAGTTAAGCAGAGTATGGTGTTGTAGAGTATAGTAGTTGAGTGAATAAATAGTTAAGTTAAGTTAAGTAGAGTAAGTAGTTAAGTTAAGTAGAGTAGAGTAGTTAAGTAGAGTAAGTAGTTAAGTTAAGTCTGATATAGTAAGTAGTTAAGTAGAGTATAGTATAGATATAGTAGTTAAGGTAAGTAGAGTAGTTGAGTGAATAAATGGTTAAGTTAAGTAGTTAAGTTAAGTTAAGTCTGATATAGTAAGTAATTAAAGCATATAATACAATATAGATATGATATAGTAAGATGTATTGTTAAGTAAGTTATGATACGTTGAGGTGTTGCTTGATTTGGCAGATTTCGGTGGGGAAGAGTTGGGGGTTGATGAGGGGGAGGTACTTGGGAATAATGATTGTTTGAATGAGTTGGGACCAGTGGGGATTGAAATGGTCGGACATGTACTCATTAAGGACATCTAAGAATACATAAAGTACACCGGGATTGTAACTGTTGTTAATTTCGGAGGTTTCATTAAGTAGGGCGGCAATGAAAGCCCAGGGTTCGAGAGGATCAGTTGGAGTTTGTAAAGTCCAGAAATAAACCCGGTAGGCAGCTAAGAGACAGTCGGGGGCTAAGGCTTGGGTAAAGAGTCGGCGTTTGAAAAGGGGTAGGAAACGAGGTATTTGCTGGTTAATGGCGAGAATGAAGTAGGCATAGCCTGGGGCTGATTTACTATGGGGAGCGACTTGAGCTTTGATTTGTTCTAGTAAACGGTCAATGAGTAAGTCAAGGAAGGACTCGAGTTTAGTGGAGTCAAGAGTGTTTAAAGCATGAGTAATAACAAAGTTAGCCACCCAATTGGCCTTTTGGGTCGTATTATTAATTTGGGCTAAACGTTTGTTTAAGAGAATGATAGTGGTTTGTTTCTCAGAGATAGTGAGTGGAAGAGTATTTGGGGCTGGAGTTTGGACTAGAAAGTCTTCAATTAGTTGGGAAATGACTAATAAACGTCTTTTTTGCGATTGACGAGAAAGTGTTTGTAGATAGGCTAAAGTGGCCGCTTCGATTTGGTTTCGGTCATTTTCGGTATCAAGAAGTAGCTGGCTTATTCTCTGAAGGAGTTTCATCGAAAAAATTATGAGGTGGATAGTCTATATGCTGTGTATCGTAGGGTTATGGGCGCAATCGGAGCAGTTGGGTATTCAAAAGCAAGGAGGACAAGAAGTAAGATACATGGCTTTAGAGGCCAACGGCTATATCTTTATATACGATGTTTTTGATAGTACATTAGTAGATAAGATAGCAGTGCAAAACAAAAGACCAGAGGGTATACAGCGGCAAGTAGGAGAGGGAGGGAGTATGGGGGTGGAGGGAGTAAATGAAGGTTTGGATCGGTGGAGGGGAATAAATGAAGAGGTGCAGATTGTTGGCCAGGGGGTGCTAGTGAGAGACCATCGGATTGCAGTGGAGTACGTGCAACTACCGGTGGGAATGGTAGTGCTGGTTTATGATGAGTACGTGGCTAAGTTAGTTGAGGCAGTTGGTGCTGAAGAATGGACGAAAAGAGAAGTACGTTGTGTGCTGGGGAAGACTTATATTAACCGGGCGGATTGGGCCCATCGGTCGATTGCTGAAGTAGTAGGGAAGTATGGCCGTGCTCGGATGTACTTCTTGAAACGGATCAATGGGAACTTTTACCTCTCGGAAGTTCAGATCTCGGAAATTGCTGAGGCTAAGCAAAGAGTCGGTAAAGTCGTCTTGGAAGTATGGGGGGTGTTTTTAGTCTTTAGTCTGTGCTTCTTTGCGGCCTTACCTGGAGTTGTTCGGATTTATGTTGCTCGTCGGTGTCCAATTGAATTGGATGCTGGGGAGTACCGGGGTTTGCATGAAGGCCGGCTCTTCCGGACTAAACCGGTCTTTGTCCTGGAACTCTTGAAAGGGTCGGCGGCGGCGGAAAGAATGCACCGGGGTTTGGTTGAGTTACGACAAATGGATAAGCGTGATTGTATTGTTTACATTGAAGAGACGAGTAATGCCGTTCTAGTGGCGTATACCAAGGATTTAGTGGCTCTGGCTGATTTAGGCCCGCAGTATACGTTTGCCAAGAAAGGCGAGATTATTTGGTGGCTGATCAAGAAAGTAGCTGAAGTCCATGCTCGACACTGGGCCAATATAGATATGAGTTTAGATAATATCTTTATTAGAGAGGCAGATACGCGTTTAGTACTACTAGGCCTAACCCATTTCCACCAGCCAGATCCCGCCCAACTAAGCAGCAGTCAAAGCAAGGACTGTCAACGCCTTGGCTTACTTTTCTACGAACTAGTCTTCAACCGCCCCCTCCTTCAACCCCAAGAAACTGTCGCTCAAGCCCAAGCACGTCTGCATCAGTACCACTACCAACGCTATCCTAAGTTTTACCCCGGCCATGAACCCCGCCAAACTCTCGAAGTCCTTGATTGTATTGTCCAACTCCTCAGCCCCGACTTACCTAATTTAGACCAAATAATCACTCATCCCGTCTTCTGGTCTAGTTCCGGCCGCTTTGAGTTTATTGCCCTCTTCAGCGACTACCTCTTTGACCATCCGGAAGACAAAGTTATTGAAACTAGCCAGATCATGGCCAAAACAGAGATGGATTGGAGTAATTGGGACGTTTATTTAAACCTTGATTTGTACAACCACTTAATTCGTTATGGCAAGTATCTTTACAACACCAAAGTCATTCGCGATCTCTACCGAATTTTTCGTAATAATGGCCGACACTTCCAATCTATTCCCGATCCAGGCCGACACTTCTTCCAAAACACACTTCAAAATTATATCAACTACTTTTTAGATACGTATCCTTATCTTACCCTATTTGGACATGCAGTAGCCAGTGAATATCGGCTATTTGAACGAAAACTTTTTCAAGAGCTTCAGTTGCATGCGTTTCACGTGTAGTCAAATCAAGTTCCTTTCACCAGAACATTTCCGTATCTTGCTTGCTATCGAGTTAGGCAGCAAAAATCATGAATCTGTGCCTCTTTCATTAATTCAATCAATTTCAAAAGCAAAGTGTAATTTAGATAGTATTATAACTGATTTAGTAAAACAAAAGTTCATTAAAGGTATACCATATACCGGGTATGAAGGATATGCCCTAACATATACAGGTTATGACAATCTAGCCCTTTATGCCTTGCAGAAGGAAGGTAAGCTTTGGGGAGTAGGGGGTAAGATAGGAGTGGGTAAAGAATCGGACTTGTACTTAGGAATGTCTCCTGAGAAGAAACTTGTCTGTATTAAGATACACCGATTAGGCCGAGTCTGTTTCAAAACAGTTAAGTTAAATAGAGATTATCACCAGAACCGCAAGTATACTTCATGGATGTACCTCTCACGACTATCAGCTGAGAAAGAGTTTGAGCATATGACTCGTTTATGGGGCAAGATTCCTATTCCTCGGCCTATTTCTCAGAACAGACACGTAGTGGTAATGGAGTACTTAGAGAATTATACTACGCTTTGTAAGATTCCCAAGACTGGGAATACGTTGCCACGGCAGTTAAAACCTACTTTACTTAAGATTCTTGAAGATATGGCTGAATTAGGGTATGCTCATGGGGACTTTAATGAATTCAACATTATGATTCGTAATGACTATCAAAAAGTCAAAATCATTGATTTCCCACAAATGGTACCGATTGATGATCCAAGAGGTCCAGAATATCGAGAAAGAGATCGTACGGGTCTTGATGCCTACTTCAAAGAGTTTAGCTAGTATTAAGTTGAGTTGGGTTGAGTTAAGTTGAGTTGAGTTGGGTTAAGTTAAGTTAAGTTAAGTTGATATTAAGATGGTTTTTGTGCATGGGCATACTTGCTTGGGAAGTCTTTGAATAAATGGCATATGTCTACTTGGTATTTAGATTAAGTTGGGTTGGGTTGAGTTAAGTTGAGTTAAGTTGAGTTAGTATTGGGTGACATCTATTTGCTAACCCAAGATGACATAAAGTGTTATAGAAGTGATATTGTGATGGTATAGAGGTGATACTGTGATGGTGATTAGATACTTGTGAAGCGCCAACATAAGACAACACAACTCAATCCAACACAACTCAATACTAACATAACCCAACTCAACCCAATATAACTCAACACAACACAACTCAACTCAATATAACTCAACCCAACTCAACACAACACAATACAATAAAGAAGTGAATCTGAAATACTAACTTGATCTTATCAAGTATGAATGTTTATTTGGTGTGTATTGGGGCCGATCTAGCCGATTTATGAGCATCGTGTCCTGAGTACAACCGCTCAGCTGCTCGAAGAAATGATGGCCCAGATCCCCAAGCTAATGCCGGAAGATCACTAGTCTGCCAGGCATTCTCGGCCTCTCTAGTAGAGGTGGGAACAAAGAAAGACTTTCTAGGAGCAGTGTACGGATCAAAGCTACGAGCCCCGGCATTGAGTTTACGCAGAGTTGGTTGGGCCCGAGGTGTAGTATTAGTATTAGCATTAGTATTACCAGCAGTTGAAATAGTAGTTTTGAGGGGTTCAGATGGTGGTGTTGCTGAGGTTAGGATTGGGTTAGTATTAGTAGTTGAATTAGTAGTTGTTTGGGTAGGAGTGGATGGTTGTACTAGAGATGCATCAGTAGGTGTCTGAAGAGAAGAAGAAGGAGATTGACTAGGTGTAGTTAAGCTAGGGGTAGTAGTTGAACTAGGAGGTGAAGTAATTACTGGACTAGACTTCTCATTAGGCTTACGGGCTAAAGGCTTTTCTTTAGTTCCTCTAAAGACCATAGCACTATAATCAACTGCCGGATTAGTTTCAGGAATAAGATCTCGTCTTCTCTTAAGAGGTTCTTTCTTAAGAGCTCCAGCTGATCCATACTTCTCATCTTCAGTAAGATCGGAAACTCGACCACGTTCTTCTTCCAAATGAGAATTACCAGAAGTCTGCTGCAACATCTTCTGAGCAATTTGTTCAGCTTCACCTTCATACCGCCGATACTCTTCTGAATTCTTATCTAAGACAGTAGTGTACATTGACTCATCAAAAGTAGCTTTAACTCCAAACTGTTTCTCATTAGCTTCAAACTGATTCCAAGTCCCAACTTTCTGAGTACCACTTAGCACTAACTTCTCTTCCGGTTCTTTGTTATGATAGAAAGACTGCAACTCTCTAGTCCGTCCACCATTCTTCTTCCGGCCAATTTCTCCATCGGTCAGAAACTCTTCCTTAATCATTCCTTCATCAGCAGCAGCACTACTACCACCTACTACATTACTACTACCAACTACATTACTACTACTACTACCCATACCAACACCAACACCACCCACACCAACACTAACTTCTACTTCTTTAGTCATTGTCCCGAGATTAAACAACTCTTGAATAAAGTCCTTCTTAACACAAAGCAAGTCATAACTAATAGCAGGATCTTGGAAGAAAGTAAACCCAGTAAAACTCACTTCACTCTTACTATCAGCTACTAATTCACCATACCCTAGAACACCAGAAACCATTCGGACAACCATAATACCTCCACTAGTACCTTCTTTCAATCCACCGCCAACAATTGCTTCAACCGTCTGAATATCTTCTAATCGAATAACTTTCTCAGTACTTACTTCTCGTTCTTCAGTTTCCACTACGTACTCAGCTAGTTTTAGACCTTTCTCATGAATTCCTTCGACTCGACCAATGACAACACTTCCATTTTGAAGGACAATACGATAAACCATACCCTTTTTAACTAAACAGTTCTTCACACGCACTCCCTTATCGGATTTAAGGTTGTTTTTATCCCTTTTCTTCCTTTCGCTTTCAATTGCCTTTTTGGGCCGATTAGTTTCGTCTTTTGCTTGAATCATGAATACACAAAGTAAAACAAACATAAACACGTTTATTTTAGCATAGCCATGTGGTTATTACCAGGAGATCCTTTAGTATCTCCATTGCCAGAGTTTAGTATTGGGTTATTTAAAGATGCCGGTCAAATAACAAGTGGATCGGCTGGACAGTTAATGGCTTTTAATGGGGGCAAGTATTGGGTTAATTTCCAGCAAGTAGGATATACACCTCTACTTGATGACGTTGTTTTAGGAGTAATTAAAGGTAAGGGTAAAGATTACTACCGAGTAGATATTGGTAGTTCTTCTTTAGCTATTGTAGATTTTATGGACTTTCCTAATGCTACCAAAAGAAACCGACCGACTCTTAGTCTTGGTGATATTATTCTGGGTCAAATTGTCCTAGATAGTAAAACTGGAGATATTCGGATTTCCTGTCGGACCGAAGTTGTTACTGAAATGGGACAACTTAAAGATGGTATACTGATTAAGTGTGGTATTCTACGCAGTCGAGCTGCTTTCCTTTCACCACCCGAAGTTCTTAATGGTTTAGTCTCACGCGCCCTCTGGAGTATGAATGGTTATGCCTGGATTACACCTCCCTCCCCAGAAGCCGTCCAAGCCGTACTTACCGCCCATCTACCTACTACTACTACTACTGCTAATTCTACTACTTCTACTACTAAACACTAACTCAACTCAATAACATCTTCTTTTACTTATCTATTACATTACATTACATTACTCACTAGTTAATACTTAACTTAATACATTACTCATGACTCTACTTAGTACTTAACTTAGTACTCATGACTCTACTTAGTACTTAACTTAGTACTCATTACATACATAACTTAGTACTCACTATTTAGTACTTAACTCAACTTAACTTAGTACTCTACTCATTACTTAACTCAACTCAACTTAGTACTCTACTTATTACTCAATACATTACTCATCAATTTATTATATTACTCAATACATTACTCATTACTCATTACTCTACTCACTACTCAATTTAGTACTTTATTCAATACTCATTACTCATTACATTTACTCATTACTCATTACATTACTCAATTTAGTACTTAACTTAGTACTCTACTCATTACATTAACTCATCAACTCAACTCACTACTTAACCCAACAAAATACACACCTTATCTTATCTTAACAAAATACACATCTTATCTTATCCCAGCTCAACACCAACCATATCAAAATCATAACACAACACAACCCAATACCAATCTAATCAAAATCATAACACAATCTAATCCAAATCAAAACCCACCCCAACTCAATACCAATCAAAACCCAACCCAACTCAATTCAATATCAACCCTTTATTTCTGGTCATAAACCTTGGTGGGTTTAGCCTTTACCTGCTGCTTCTCCAATATCTCTTCCGGAGAAAAGATAGTGATCTTATTAGGATGCTGAGCAGTCGTTCCATTACGGCCAGTCGCATCATAATTCAAAGTTATCGCTACCTTAATCCCTAATACTCCCTGTTTCAATAGAATACTTGATTGAGCACTACGTACATAGTCCTCAGTAGCATTACCTGAATGTAACAGTATACCACTAGATACTTTATAACTCTTTGCTCTTTGTCCCCTTATCTTCCCAGAGATAATCACTTGAGCACCAGCTGCTCCTCCTTCCATAATCGTTCTTAAAGCTCCAGTTACAGCCCTACGGACGGGTAGAGCTGATGCTAACTTCTCTTTGATTAGATTGGCTTGAATTTGTGGGTTTAAAGCCCTATTCTTCACCTGTTCTACAAAGATATTAATACTACCTTCAGCTAGTCCAAATCTCATCTGAATAAGAGTAATTAACTGCTTAAGTCTTAACTTGTTGTTCTCTAGTAGTCCTGAAGTCTTCCCTAGCTTAAGAGTCACTTCAATAGGAGTAGAGTAAGGTTTATAGTCCATTCCAGCATAACCTTCAGATTCTAAGTGTTTTTGGAAGATTTCATTAAGTTCAGCGTAGATTAGACCTTGTTCTACAATGACTAAATCATCAGCCATTTTTTGGTTTCTAACTTCACGTCTTGCTATTTTGTTCATTGCTGGGGGTTAAAAAAAGAAAATAAGATGGATTGGCTTAAACTAGTGCTTAGTCAGAAAGATAGATTGAAAAGGGCAAAAAGTATGGGAGATTGTTTAGATAGGGAAGAAAGTTGTGAAATATCATTAGTACCAATGGAGAGTAATTATCAGATACCGGAAGTAATATTAGGATTAAAAGTAGTACCGGAATGTGAGACTTACTTCTGGCAGTTGGGAGTAGAGATGGCTGAGGAAGAAGTAGTTGGATGGAATGAACGAGTAAGTCGGGTTTTAGAAGGGGTGATGAATGTAGAGATGGATTTTTGTGGGCCGGTTGAGAGTAGAGTAGTAGTTAGTGAGTCAGAAGTAAGTCAACAGATTAAGTCAGTACTAGGATGGGTTTGAGTGGAGTTTAGGTGGGGTGGGGTTGGTTTAGGTGGGGTTGGTTTGGTATTGGGTTAGTAGTGGATGATGTTAATAAATGGACTAAGTTATGTACTAAGTTGAGTATTGAGTTAAGTACTAAGTTGAGTAATGAGTTGAGTTAGTAGTGGGTTAAGTCATGTACTAAGTTGAGTATTGGGTTAAGTTAAGTTGTGTACTGAGTTAAGTATTGAATTAGTACTGAATTAGTAATGAGTTAAGTTAAGTACTGAATTAGTAATGAGTTTAGTATTGGATGGTGTGTATAGTGTTAATAAATGGACTAAGTATATGTACTATGCTATGTACTAAGTAAATACTTAACTTAACTCAAGTCCTATGTAAGTAAGTGCTCTATTTATTGAAGG